ATATTGTTAAGATGGCAATTCTCCCCTAATCAGTCTATAGATTTAACACTACCCAATCAAAATCACAAGAGGCTTTTTATAGAAAGTGACAGGCCAATTCTAAAATTCATATGAAAATGCAAAAGAACCAGAGTAACAGAAACGACTATTTAAGATTACACAGTTAGGAGTAATCAAGTAAGGATAGGCACACAGATCAAGGAAATAGAATAGAGCTCAGGAAGAGACATATATTAATATAAGAACAACTGATTTTTGACAAACATGTAATGGCCATTTAATGGAGAAAAAAAAATACTTTTTAGCAAATTGTGCTGGGACAATTGGATGTCTATTTGCAAAAAGTTTAACTTTGATCCATACCTTGCGCCAATTGAGTAAAATGAAATCCACACAGATCACAGATCCAAATGTAAAATTTGAAGTTTTTAAACTGCTAGAAGAAGAAATAGGAGAAAATATTTGTGGCTTTAGGTTAGGTAAAGATTTCTTAGATGTGACACCCAAAGCAAGGTCTGTAAAAACTTCTTAGCAGAAGTTGTCAGAAACCTGTATTACTGTGAGGACCTCTCTCTTCCGCACTCAAATAAATCCCTTCTTACATTTGGTCTTTTTACACTAAATCGGTGCTTCCTAAATTCAGTCCATGCTGGTGACAAGTTGGCTTTGGCTAAAACAAGAAATCAACTTATTGGCAAAGATAGGTCATTCTAAACACAAATGCACCGACTATTAAAGCGGTGAGTAAGTGCCTACAAGAATTTCCTGCAGAAGCCTTTGGCTCTAAGTTCAGCTCCATTTTGGGGCTGGTGTGGCTAACTAAAGCATTTCTAGCACTCGCTGATAGCGTTTTTAGCAAACTGACACTTTCTTCTTGACTAATGAGTAGGGCTGAAAGAGTTAAAGGAAGCAGCCTCTTACATGGGTTGTCATGTGCACCGTGAAATCATCTTGTGCCATGGGGGTTCCTGCCCTCAGGGAGAGCCCATCTCCTAAGCTCCTGAGGCCATGATGGATTCAGAGTTCCCATAAAAGTCTGAGGTACTCCGAGGACCCAGGAGCAAGCATTAGGGCCCATTAGCCCAAATGGCACCGTTCTACAAATCAGGAAAAGGTGCCTGCCATGGGCAGAGGAGCCCTGTGTGTGCACACAGTTCTGTGAGAGGACAGGGTCTATGCGAGCCTTTGAAAAAGGCCTCCGTCTCTCCAGGCCAACACTGCCTCCTGCCAGACAGAGCAAGGGGTGGATTTTGGCCCCACTTAACCCTCTGGCTTAGTGCCCTTGTGCAATGAACAACAGGCACGGCTATCCTTGATGGTTTGCCAAGTATTCCCTAAGCCTCGGCATTTCCACGAGTTGCTACTAAATTTGTAAATCAGTGGCTGAATTTCTAGGGCTACTTGTGGTGTCTCTCCACCCAAATTGCTTTTAATTTCCAGCCTTTGGACTGTGCCATGGCTTCTACGGGGATGCAGAAGGGGAATATAGTAGAGAAAAAGGAAGCACCACAGTTCCCTTGATGGTTCCAGATTTCCTCTGGTTTTGGCTCATCACTGCTAGCCCTGTCCCTGTCACCTGCCACACTCAAGGCTGGCTCTGGCAGAAAAGCACCCTTCATGAAGATGGCTAGGTTCCTTTCAGCTGTGCCCATACTGAAAGCGCAGTAATTAGCCAAGTTTGGAGGTACGCACTTTTGCCTATGGCATGCGCTAATGAACATCAAGTCAAGATAAAGTATTGAAAGCAGCAGAACCGGCAACAAGAGCGTCTCTTGTTTGATGTAAATGTGTGCTGTCTGAAGACACAACTCTGCGCTGCAAGATTAGGACATGGGCAAGGGTTGGCTCAAGCCACAAGAGTGTGGATTAAAAATGCCACAAAGAGGTGGGCAGCAGGAGGGCCCTGGGTTAGTGTTAGCTCGGACAGGAAGCAGATTTTTACTTGCTTTGCTTTTTACACTCCAAATTCTGGGTAACTCACAGCCCGGCCCGCATGGTAGTTTTGAAAGGAAGATTCTAAATTGTTACTAAGCTCAACGATGGATTCATTTAGCCTTTTACAATAGCTTACACAAACCCACCATTTTAAAAGTCCATATAATAAGACAGATTAGGTTCATAAAGCCCTGTGGGAAAGGGTAGTGAGGAGGAACTGAACTTACCCAAGAAGAGGATATATTGGCTGGTTAGCTCTAGTTGAAGCTAAGCCTCTACAGGGTCCTCTAGCCCCATCCAAGGGCCCACCGCCCATTGGTGACAGGGCAAGGGGACCTGGGGTAAAAAGCAAGGATTCCTTACGCCCAATCCCTTTCAGACCACCCTCTGTCTCACGACCTGGCCCTTTTTCTGCTAAGGCCAAAGGACTCCAACCTGAGCCCCACTTTTTAAAAAACCCACAGAGCTGTTTTTGAAGGCAAATTTCTAGAGAAATCAGCAGAGAAAATAATCCTTCTAAACTGGAAGTGGCCATTGGCATCAGCTCATGTGTCAATGACAACTAATTAGGAGGACTATGTGGACTGAGTTGAGAAGCATTCTGAGGACACATCTGGGCCCAAAGAAGAGGGGCTACAACTCTTTAATATTATAGGATCCAGTGTAGACTACCACATAATTTGTCACACCCCATCCCTTCCCAGCAGCCCCCAGCAAATATAATCAACCTTTTCCTAACAGGAAATAAGTTGATGTAAATAGTCTTCTCTACAACAAAAATGTGAAATTCCTCATACTAAACATAATGAGGACAAACCTTTCATTCAGAACAACAACACTGAAACAACGGAGGGCCCATGCCTATTGAGAACAGTTCTATGTGGCCTGCACGTATCTAGGAAGTAACTTCTGATCAAAGGCCCTGGCCATTTAGTTAGTAACTATCACACTGCTGGGCCAACAAGCTTACAAGTACTCTAACTTCGGCTGGGTAATCAGGTGTGACCCCACCCTGAGTGCTAGCTCTCTTTCCCGTCTTTTGGAAAATACAGTTTAAAAGTCCCTGGGTTTAAACACTCTATTTCTCAAGTTCAGCCACCACAAAAAAGAGGCATTCAATCCTAGACTGGGCATTGCTCCTGATGCCACACACACACAGCTTTGGAGATCTCTGGGAAGCCTTAGATGAGCATGGTTGCATCCTGGTTACTAGGACTCACTTCATTATTCAGAGGTATGGTATTCAACCATCTTAGAGTTCTACTGGGTTCCAGACTTGGGGTGGGGAGGGACAGGGATCTTGGAACATGCATTACATCTTACTGACACTGGTATGATCCTCCCACGAGTCTCCGGGCAGTTCAGAGACCCACTATAATCTCTAAAGAAAAAGATGTTTAAAAAAGGGCTTCTGTCCTGTCTGAAGGGCTTTGTTTGCCTTCCCTGATCCAGTGGATAACAATAACAAAGCTTTTTTATGGATTTCACTAAAATATAGACAGTACACCTCCAGGAGCTCCGCTTACAACCAGTTGTATACAGACAATATTAATGGTCATTGGACATCAGGAAACATTTACTTAAGCAACTGTTCTGACAGCTGGTCAGGAATTCAGGAGGCATTCTTCTCCACTGATCATTGCTGTGACATTCACTATGTAGGAAAGCCATGAGAGCCTTGTGGAAGTGCAGGGCGCGGCAAAGCATCCAAGTCCCGTCAGCTCACATTGGTCTTAAACTACCCACTGCTGAAGCAGTGTGACTTGACAAAATCTGTATATCTTTATCTATACATATATATCTACATCTATCTCTGCATCTATGTCTATAGAATAGATATGTCAAAGTTCCAATGTACTCAAAAAGCCAACAAGCTTAACTTAAAGAATCCATGTAAAAAGAAATCAAACCCATGTTTAGGGTTGGGCATGTGCTACACAACTCACACAGGGAAAATAGGTTTTGACAACACGGATCCAAATCAGTTTGGGAACGTAAAAAGTTAGGGTAACCTCAGAAGATTTAAGTCTCCAGAATTCATGATTAAATTCAGAATGTATCAACATTGATAGCTAATCCCAGAGGAAAGAATTCAGAAAGAGCACTGGGCCAGGCCTCTTAACTCCTAGAATTTTCACCACTCTATGTTCACTCCCTCAAAAAAAGCAAACAAAAGGCAAAGTTACAACAAGTAAGCAATTACTCACCATTTTTATTTGTAAGTTCTTTAAAGATACTGCCTCAAAGTAAAAAAAAAAAAAAAAACAGTATTTGACTCAACGGTTTTTAAGAATTATATTCCTTTCTCTCTCCTCATTAAATAACTCTTGTGTCTGTGCACTGAAAATCATGTAGGGTATGTGACGGAATGACCAAATAGCCCAAGAAAAGTGCTGATGCTTAGATATAAGCACACTTTCTCACTGATGAATCAACAGCCACGGACTTTTCCTCAAGTCAGGAAAGCAACCTAATTTAAGAGGCTTGTTTTATTGCCTGCTGTAACTTGTATAAATCTCTGATAAGATCTAGTCCAAAAATTCTGCCTTCTTCCTTTTACAGTTATTCCCAGTTACATCTATGCTACCTTCTGAAAGAAGGTACAAGGATTCTAGAACCAATCAACACATCACAGGCCTGGGAACCACAGGCTCAATTGCAGCCTAGACCACACTATTAGGGTCTGGCACTCCCCAAAGGAGGTGATGCAACCTGGCTGGCCAGCTTAGCAAATCAACACAGGATGTGCCGTCAAAATTCCATCCGGAAGGATCAACAGCCATCGCCTTTTACTGAGAAAGGAAAAGCCATCGAGTTACTTTTTCTCGCTTACTGGGAGTCTCATGTAAACAACAAATAATGTTGCACTCCTTGTTTATTTGAACTTCAAGTGTAACTGGGTGTCCTGTATTTTATCTGGCACCCCTTCCCCCCACCCTTGTCAGTTTCTATGTCTGGCCTGCAGAAAAGGACATTCTCAACACCCTGCTGATACTGCAACTTCTGCAAATGTAAAGTTGAAGAATAGTGCCTAGATCTATACCATGTCCTTGAAGGCTTCATACCTGAAGGAGTCGCGAAGGGGCTTTGTCCTGTACTTCTGGTGGGTGAGGTTCTCTTTTGCGGGGAGGAGGTGGGGGAGCAGGAAGACAGAGGTGCAGGGAGCCACCAGGGCAGCATGCTTACAAGCCTTTCATGCTCTACTTCTGCAGTCATGCACAGTTCCCATGGCACTTCATAGATGGTGATAACAATTATATGTTGCTGTTTTTGAGCACCTGTTTACTAATTGCCAGAAACTGAAATTGGCAAGCTTGTTTGGTTGGCTTCCACTGAGGATGGAGATGTAGCTCCATTTTTGAGATCTGGCTCAAAAATACACCTATGAAAACTGGAGTTTTAAAGGTTCTATTCAAACTTAAAATTCTTTCCTTTGGGTAAGAAAGCAGATGATCTTTTAATCTTTGGTCCTAAAACATTCTGCTCATTCCCTTCTCTTGATGGAACTTTTATCTACCTCCACTAATGAGTAACTCAGCAGCAACTCAGTCTTTTCCCACCTGCAGAAAGTTTAGAAAAAAAAAAAAATCAACCATCCAGAGATGGCTGAGAGGTTTAATTATTGCCTGGAAAGCAACACCTTTTCACAGCATCTTTAAGACTAATTTTCGTAATTACTTACTGATTGAAACTGGGACTTGCAACAGAGTAAACTCATTTCCATATTAATATTCAGTAATGATTAACATAGCTCAGGACCCAAGTTCAAGAGATGAAAGCATGGACTAAGTGGAAATAAGGAAATTTAACCCATAGGGGTAAATCGGCTACTTGTCTCTCAAATGGTTTTCCATTCATTAACTGGCTTCCAATAAACTTTGCTCCGTGATGACTCACCAAGAGGGAGTTCAGGCAGTAACACAAGACCTCCACAAACTTGTTGACTCCCTACTTTCCATTTTTCTCTCTCCCCCATCTCTCCCTGCTTGTACTTGTTTCTGCATATTCTCTTCCTCCCTCCCTCCCTCTGTGCATCATCTCCTCTCCCCACCCCCATTCATCTGTCCCTCTGGTGTCCTTTATTGATCTAGCCATCACTTTCTCACCCTCTCACTTCACACTGGCCCTCCCCCCCTTCTAGTTCCTTGACATCTCTTGCTTGGTCTTGTGCTCTCTTGCAGGGCCCCATTCATGTTTTTGCTCTCAGTCTGAATCCAAGGTCTTGAACATCAAACAGAGAGCAATAATTACCCCAATTAGCTAAGGGTAAATAAGTTTTATTGTTCAAACCAAGTTATACAAATCACTGCGGTGCTTCACCAAACTCCCATTTTGGGGGGGGGGGGGGGAAGAAAGCCCAGCTAGACAGACAGACACACACACACACACACACTAATTTACACTACAAGAATAAAATGCCTTTAACTGTTTATCTGGGAGCATGCTATCACACAGGACTGCACACCATCCTTTTAAGAAGAGAAATGTCCTTTCAACTTTTGTCTTTGTCTTAGTCCATCAGCTATGGTGTCCATGCTGTCCTCTTCTAAAACAAGATTTCTTGAACATTAGAAGTCACACAAGCCAGAACAAGGACATAGCCATTACTGATTCTTTATTGTTTTGGTATTGTTTGGTAGCTATTTTTGGAGTTGCTACTTGATACATGCACATGCCTCCTTAAATGTCCTTTTAAGCAATGCCAAGCAAAGGAGCAACAACATGGTGGTGATTTGAAGACCCCTCATTACAAAGAACAAGTTAGGCCTACGTACTGACAAGGATCAGATGTGAAAATATAGGGATTGCAAATGGTGCTTATGTTCTTATTGTCTATAAATGTCACTTCATTTAAACTAAGTTTAAAGTAAAACCTAATTTTATTCATTCTTCTTTCCAAAGAAGAATCCATCTGAGAGTTAATGAATGCTTTTAAGAATTCCGGTCTTACAGGAAATGCGTAATTACTCTCCTGCTCTAATAGCTACCATATCCAGAATTTAATGCCCAAGTGGTTAACCCCAGAGCAACAGTCTCCTCTAACTATTCATTTCCATCTGCCTAGGGTTCAGGAGGTATTTTTCAGACAATCCTTTGGATATTTGGTTCAACAAATCTAATTATGATCTTTACATGTTAAGTATGTCCTCAAGATTATATCATGTCCCTGGCATTCTAGAAGTGAAGTTACAAAGCTTTTTTCCATTTTTTCATATGGGAACCAGAGTCCAATCATTCTTATGTCCAAAGGTCATTCACTTTTAGTGAAATTGCATTCTGGTATTAAAATCCTCACAATGAACATTTAAAAAGGAAGAAAAAAAGTTTATTCTATGTACTATTTATTTATGTGTATTCATTCACACACAGGGACCAAAGGTAATTAAATCAGGACCAAAAATTAAGTAGATAATTATTTTCTTATTTGCTGGGAGAATTCTCATTCATTATACATGTTTATTTTACCCACTTATTGCTTCACCACTTTATATCAATTCCATGGTACCAAAGCCATATTCCATTAGAATTGATCAGGTACCAAAAAAACAAAAAGTCAAGAAAATTCTTATTCCATTACAATTAGAAGGCCAAAGTTGATGCAAAGGAGTCTGAGTAATTGATAAGAATCACAGATGAGGGGGCACCTGGGTGGCTCAGTACGTTAAACGTCTGCCTTTGGCTCAGGTCACAATTCCAGGATCCTGGGATCCAGCCTCGTGGGCACCCTGCTTAGTGGGGGAGTCTGCTTCTCCCTTTCCCTCTTAGCCTCCCACCCTCCTCTTGATCTCATGCACTCGCCATCTCAAATAAAATCTTAAAAAAAAAAAAAAAAAATCACAGATGAAGCAGAAAATGCATCACTAAACCAGTAGAGCTGTAAGTGGGAAAAAATAATTTAAAGTGACTGTCATAAATCAGGAAAAAAATTATTCACCCACAAGAGCTGAAGAAGTTAAGTGCAGATTCCTAATACATGCAAGGAAGCAGTCTTGAGGAAAGAGAAAATCACAAATTCTAAGAGCCATAGGTAACAAAATGCAATGTGAGAATATACATGTGGAAAGAGAATAAAAATATCCAGTTTGTGTCTAGATAATGAACAGTGAGCCATGTGCAACTCAAAATGTCAAATCCAAGGGAAAATACCTAACCTTGATCTTCAAAGAGATGGCCTATGAGCACTTAGAGAAAGAGTAGAGATCATCAGAAACCACCAGGGATTGTCCCAGAATAATAAGCAGTATATTACCTTTATTTCCTTCTTGAACACTGGTCCCAGTCTTATTTACAGAAATGTTGACAGGGTATCTTGACAGTCTCTCAGGAGATCCCATTAGACCAGGGTGTATTTTTGTCCAAGGCCTCAGCACCAACACACCTTACTTCCTCTTTGCTATAGTCATCAGGCCTCCTACCTGTTTAGGGTTGGTTGCATCTGGACTGATACAACTACATCATATATCTGCTGGAGTCTTTGAGGTCAGCTTCTACCACCTCCCTTGCATCCTTGACTTCTTCAATCTCTGCCAAAATGTAAATTCTCTGCATTCCAGAACTGTTCTCCATCCCTGCTTTCTTTGGCAGCTATCTTCCTCAAAGCTTTCCACTGTCCCTTCTGGCAGCCCTATTCCCATGTAAAATAGCCCTTCAGCATCCATAAGCTCATTTCAGAACACGGTTTCCACCTTCTGACTTAAATTGAAATCTGGCTCTCTCTTAGAGCTGTTGCTTCTTCCCCTGCTGATACTAGCTATCCTCTCCCCGCAGTCCTGAGCTATGTGAAGGATTCATTTGACTATAAAGGACAGAACCCCAGAACCCCATGATGGCAATGGCTTTTGGAGATGAGATATTGCATTTCTCTCCCACATGAAAAGTTACTAGGGGTGGGCTTCACAAGGTCAGGAAGAGCCAAGGTCATTTCTTAACTTACTGCTCTACCACCCTCAGCAGTATCTTCTACCTCATGGTACAGGAGGACTGTCATTTCATAAGAGCACAAGCACATTAAAGTTAGCCAGAACACAGAAGGCAGACTTCTAAGGAAGCTCTATATCCACTGTAAGCACCACTCCCACTTATATTCTATTGGTTAGAACGTAATCACATGGCCTTACCTAGTTACAAGGTAGGCTGGGAAATGTAGTCTTAATCTGGGCAGCCATGTTCTCAGGTAAAAATTACGATTATATTGTCAAGGAAGAATAGATACGGTACTTCAACTCACAGTAGCTGCCTCATGAATCCCAGATTCCACTTCCAGAACTGTACACTTGTCTTGGTTTATAAAGATTGCTTCATCACTTCCACATTGGTTCATGGTCTTCATGACATCCCAAGTCCTGCTGTCATCTAAGATGACTTTCATGTGTGCAGTTAGCCTACTCAACACCCTAACATCACAATTATTTGACTTCAATACCAACATTTTCACCTTCCCTCCAGTTCTGCTAACCCCTCTCCTATCCATATACTAGACCTTGTCATGATCTTTGACATCTTAAACTCAAACCCCCACACCAATGCCAACTTCCAGTCCTCCCAGCTTTCTTTTTCTTAATTTCCTCCTTCTACCATCACACATTAAAACAGCTAGTTCCTGAAAGCTGCATTTTTTTCCAGTCTGTCAGGCTTTCTATCAATTTCTTTCTCTCCTTCCCTCTCTTCTTCCCTCCCAACCTTGCCTCCCTCAACCAATCTGAACACTGCAGTTGCTTCCATGAACTATCACCCTACTTTCCAAGCAAATCACCATCCTGAATCAATTGTTGCTAAACCAGCGGTCCTCAAAATTGGATTAAAATTGTCACATAGTCTTAAAACTGTCCTTTTATACTGCTTTCTCCTGTATTAGATTACAACCTATGTCTTCTCTAGGTTTTCATTGCAGAAGTGGCCCAATATGTGATTCAAAGGAATCACTAGTAAATGTTGATTGGTTTATGGGTAGAATGATGGAAAGAGGATTTGATGACAAGAATAGAAACTGGACTATAGTATACTTGGGTAGATTTGTCCCTATGTGAAACAAAGAATGCCAAGGGAAGCTCATGAAAGGCATAGCTCAAGACTTTATCCTTGGACTTGTCCTGCTAACATTAATGAGGATATAGTTGGTATGATTATTAAAAAT